TGAACCACGAGTGAAGCTAGAGGGGGCAGCAAGGCCCTGGCCTCCCCAAAACTTTTTAAAATTCTTCTTGTAACCTTCATAACTATAATTATTTTATATATATATAAAAAAAACCCTAATTGTGACTACCAAAATTCATATAAAATTTTAATTCCCCCCACCCCAAAAATAATTTTCATACCTACTTATTTAAGCTTATTTTTCTATTAATTGAATATATTTTTTTCAATATGTATACTAATAAGAATGATATTATAAAGAAATTTATAGTGCTATTGATTTATACATTTTTTTAATTTTTAATTACATCGTAGTAGTTTGCTTCCAATTCACAATGGTGGGAGTCTTGTGCACTTGGCTAGCGTATTTTTAATTTTTCCGGCCCCCTAAAGTAAAATTTCTAGCTCCGCCTCTGACCGAAACTGCGAACCATAATTTTCAGGGTTTATATATTATTGACAAAAACAAATTTACAAATCTCGATTTGCCCACACCCAAGTTTGTACCCTCTAGTAAATACGTTATACCATTGGGTTAGATTTTTTTTTTTTTTTTTTCTCAAAAATTTCTTATTTTTATACATTTTAATACTGTAAACTTTACTATTTTTAAAATTTTAAGTGATAAATTTTATTATTTTATAGATAAATAAAAATAGATGAAATTTTACTGGTAAATTTATTATTAAAAGTGGAGAAATTTCATAGGAACCTGTGGGAAAAAAGTTACTAAGTTGATTTTGATTCAAAAATTTTTTACTTGTTAGCCACAGTATATGTTATATTTAACAAGTAAATGCATTCGTACCTTAAGTCACACAATTCTTCTCAATATGTGTTACTCTCACGCTCTACGTACGTTCTCGCTCAAATTCTTAGTGCCTATAACTTAATTCTGCCGCTCTCATACTCCCGCTCTCGAATTCAATTTCACTCCCTCTCCCGTTTTATGTGATTTAGTTCGTACCCGAATCTTCATTAGACACAAAGTAACATGTGACAAATATTTAACAAGTCTGTGCATTAAAGTATAATTTTTAAAAAATAACATCAAACTATAATAAAAACACAAAATTTATCAAAAAAAAAAAAACAGAGAAATAGAATACAATAAGAATATATTGTAACTATTAGTCCAACATTTAAGTTAATGTAATGTTACTCTCAATTTTTTTATAAAGAATATTACTAAGAATATATATTTGGCAGACAAATCACAACATTTCATTTTTCTTGACTTAAACTCTCTTCTTTTATTTGAAAAGAGGAGGAGATGCCACTAACACTACCTTTGTCAATAACAATATATTTATTATTTTTAATTTATACATGAGTAACGTGATGACCTATGTGTATCAACGCTTTGTAGATTTTCGCACTTTTTTTTTTTAATTAATTAATTTATTTACTTTACTTTTTTCTTTGGAGGAAAGTTCACTCAAAACAAATGAAGTGGTGACTCCAACTTCCATTTCTAAGGGCTTGAAATGACAAATGTGCGCCTCTTTTCACAATTAGGCTTGTTGTTAGATTTTATTTTTTTAGGTAAAACATTAACTCATTATTGCGCCATGAAACTTAAAAACTTTTCGAACCGTTAATTATGAAGAAAAAATCGTGTCACAATTTAATTATTTACAAAAACTTAAACCCTAAACTTTACATATATTTTTGTTTGATGTTGTTTTGCCAACATCAAACAATTGCATCGAATACAATGTATGATGAAATGGTACTCCGGCAATTAGATCATCTTCTCTCACTTCCTATACTTGGAATCAATGCGGACTTTTTAAATCTTAAATCACATGATGCATGTAAGAAGGAAAAACTACATGTGCTGAAAAATCACCCACTTTTAGCGCAAGTACTATATTTGGTTTTACTAAAATCATCTTTCCGGGGAGGAGGATGAATTGTTAGTGCGGAAGATATATTAAGGTCTATTTGTATATTTCACATAGGCTCAACATGCACTTGTCTGGTCTGGAGAGGATTACTTAATAGATCATGAGTGTTTTAAGAGGCCTATAAACAACGACAAAATATAATAAAACATGAAATTAAAAATATAGATTAATCCTTTAAAGATTTTAATAATTGAAATCGAAAACACTATCTTACCTCACCAAGAAATGTTCTCAAAGGCACTATGGTCACTAAGACGGTCCAAGAACAAACATCCAATTCCTAGGTTGACCTTTAGTGTCCCATGATGTTAAGAATAATTATCTTTCCAAAAATGATTGGATGGACTACCCACTCTAGTGATGGTTTTATGTATATGAGCGTTTCTACCCTCTTCAAGGCTGAACCACAGCCCCAAATGAACGTCATTTACCACCATCTTTTAAAATGTCATAATAGTTACATTGGACCATCCCAGGAATGGGCTAGACCGGGGACGAGGAAGTACAACTAGGCTACAAGACCGTCTTGTAGCTCCCATAGAGGCACCACATTTTTGCAACCTCCGAAACAGGTGACGATGGAGGTGCTGGCTCATGCCAATTGGCCAATGGCCTTACAAGTTGGATTGACCACTAGAAATGATGGATCCAATGGCACCACATCTAGTGGTTCAGGTGTCGATAGTGCATTAATTCCCTCGTGTGTGTCGTGTTGTTTGAGATTCAATAATTACCAATCCAAAGGCTATATTGCACTACTACCGGGCTACTAACCCAGTTGATATAATCTCTCTCCCCTAAAGATGAAGTTGAAAGTTCAAGTCCTACCAGCGGCATGTTGTAGGTGCATGCATTAGCTTTAATTTCGGAATATATATACGGAGTATATACACACGTACGTGTGTATGTATTGCATACCACCGGGCTACTAGCCCAGTTGATTTAATCTCTCTTTCCGAAAGAGGAAGTTGAGAGTTCAAATACTAAGGGGCATGTCGTGGGTGCGTGCATTAGTTCTTAACTTCCCATGTTGCTGAGAAAATGTTGTGGGTGAGAGTTCAAGGCATCCTAACCGCAACGTGAATTTGGTCTTTAAAGGAGAGTGAGTTGGTCTAAAAAGAAACTTCCTTGTCACCAACTTGACAAAGCATATTAATACTGGAACAAAGTAGAGTGAAGATTAATTACAGATTCAGATTACTGGATTGCTTACAAGAGTCTGACCATATCTACAATCTAGTCCCTATGTCTAGAACGTAACTCCAACCTACAAATCTAAGCTAATAAGTGCATCGAAACAAATATTCATCTTAAAGGGAGAACATGAGCTTATTTAAAACCCGAAATAGGCAAATGAATGGATGGCAAATTTAAGGTAGAAAGCTTCAGCTACGCCTGAGGAACAAAGCTACGTATACGATAAATGTGGAAAACCACTAGTGTGAAGGCACTAGGAAGTGTAAATCGTATTGGTACAAGACCTTTTTTCATGAACTTTTCTAGACGGTTGATATGATCTCCTGAAACTGTCTTGGACAAGCCTTGGAGTCAAAAGCTGACTCAGATGGAACATATTGACTACCGTATTTAATGCATAGTAGGGACTGCCACCTATTGACGTCTCTTAGTAGTTGTCCCCTTATCCTTGGCACTCAAGTGGTTTGAAACCAATTAAAACTTCTAACAGTTTCTCCTGTCCTTAGCGAGTGACAGATGAAGACAAAGTGGTTCCTCGACCTGAAAGACTCACAGGTCGAGGAACCAGAAAAATAAAATATTCCATCTTTGGGCGGGTGTTGTGAGATTGGGCTGTTGATCTTTGGTTTGTGCCCCCAGCTCTTTCCTCGGTCTCGGCATCTCCTTATAGGTCCTAGTTTGAGACCGAGAAAGCGAAATGCCCCATTTTGAGTGCAAACACCCAGCCCTCGCTAAATGGAAATGGGTCTTGATTTTCATGGTCTAAGTTGTGTGTAAGATCTTTTTCTGATGAGTCGAATTGTGAGCAGTCCTCCCACTTTTGGAAACCACCCCCGGCCAGTTTCATCAAATGCAATATGGATGCCTCTCTCTTCGGATTCTCTCACAGGAGGAGGGGGAGCAGTCTTCAGGGACTCCTCGGGTTCCATTCTCAAAGTGTGGGAGTTTTCAAGCTGAAGCGTGCTGTTTGCGTAAGGCAGTGGAGTGGTTCAAAAGTGACTCAAAAGTTGTGGCGGATGCAAGGAAGCTCTCTTGTCCGGTTGAGATTTCATTAGCGGTTTTTGACATTTAGCAGGCATTGCAAGGTTCTCCTGCTGCTTCAGTCCGTCACACTCGTTTCCAAGGCAATGCTGTGGCTCACGCGGTGGCCAAGCTCTCAGAGAAGTCGTCTCCGGTCGGATGAGGTTCTTGGTTTCAATGCTGCGGATATTCTGCAGCTTGCTCAAGATGTTTGTAATCATAGCTTCATGGAGAAAAAACAAAAATCTTGTATCTCAGTTTTGTATAAGATATTTAATCTTATTGAGAATTCAAGAACCCCTCCTTTCCCGTTGTTAATGCCTTGGACGCACGGACTAAAGTCCTCTCATGCAAAATACTACCATGTTCCGTCCAGATGTACCTTAAAGAAATGTTGTAATGTTCAGCCCCACATCACAAAACATTTTCGCTACTAACCGGAGGGAACAAGACTACTGTTTCACTGGAGAAGATTTTGATCCGGGCTTTTAACCAATCGGGAGAGAGAATGGAAAAGAACCTAAGGTTATAAATCACCATCTTCAGTGTTGCACTTTCATGAATTTGGAGCTACACAACAGTTAGATCCTGACCTATTGTAAAACAACGATGGCGCATTTAACTCTTCACAAACTAAGGCCAAGAGCTAATGGCTGTGGCTATGGCGAATACGTTGATTCTAAGGACTAAATCACAGCTGTGAAACTTCTAAAGAACACCCTCACCAAAAAACACTTATAACGAACACAATTACAAATACTGTGCACACCCACAAGGTTTTAAAAGTGAATCAAGATAATTCAACATTCCAATTGCAGATGCACATATTTATGAAGGAGAGTAACAAATTATTGTAAACTCAGCAACACGCACGTACACAATCAAACATGCCAACATTAATTTTCCTTTGTTTCACTTAAAAGTATCACGAAATTTTTAAGAATAAAATGTCGAAACCAGAAGAAATTTATCCACATATGCCTAAAAGTTCAGACATTTGAAACATTTTACGTCAGTGTTCTAGACCAGTTCATAAAATCATAAACAAATTTTAAACATAAACCATGTAATAGTAACAGCCATATAGTGGTTCCAAGGTCCAGATTGAAGAGCGCGGTCTCTCTACGTCCTTTATTCTGTATAAGATCACAATCATTAATGTTCTTCCATATGTAATAGGATTTACCACTGGCCGAAACAGAGGCAAAACATCTTGCAGCATCTGATGTTGGAGAAGATGGAGACTCTACCTGACATCAAAGAATATCTTTAATTATTAACAGCTCTCACCAGTATCCAGAAATATTACACACAACAAAATAAGACTTGGTATAACACCACCAACTACAATCTTACAATTGACAGAACCCATAAAATAAGAGCAGGCTTCTAAAAATGTAGGAAGCTTGAACTAGGTTTTTTTTATTTTTATTTTTATTATTTTTATTTTTTTTTATGTAACTACAAACTCATTCCTGATTCTTTAAATGGAAATTAAAATCTTCTATGAGTAAGATTTCATTAAAGGCGCTCAAAAGGGGAGCGCTCCCAAAGAAAACAAAAGACGTCCAGGACAATACTATAACTTTAAGCTACCGACTAGCAACTAAATCATTATATGGCCCAAATGGATGTTAATAAAGTTAATCAACCAACCTCTCTATTTATTATATTTTTTTGACTTTGAATAGGAACAACTATAAGACATGACACACTGATGCAGGAGACGGTTCACAAAATATACTGTTTCTCTAAGCATCAGCTGTGATGACGATGATTCCGGCACTTCATTGTGTGATTCTAAATGAAGGATTAGCATGTTCAGATACTACATACACAAAGACTATGGAATGTCAAGTGTGCAATGGTCAATAACTGAAATTAATTTATGAATTTTTATCGGATTGACAATTCTTTGCTCTCGACTCTGTTAAGCTAATGGAGTCAAGGAGCAGTTAGGATTTTAGTATTTGTATTTTGGCAAATTTCAGTTTAAAACCATATCGAGTTCTATTTTTGTTTGTCCCCTATTTATTTGCTTCGAAGTACAACTGTTCATAATTCGAGTGCTTCGAGCCTCATCCAATTGATTGTTGGCCAACTTATTACGACTTTACTTCTGTTGTGCAAAATGATTCAAGGATACTTGTGAGTTTATTGTGTTTCAAAAAGCTATGGAAAATTTGACATGCGGTGCTACCTTATAAATTATTTTATTATTGGTATTTCTTTTCCATTACATGGAAGCAGCCTCTAAAATTACCCTAGCATCCTTACTATCACTTGACTATTCTTTCATTTTTACCCAAAAACCTGCACATATTCAGATAGATGCGATAAATGGATCTAACTACATGCAGAACGCTGCTACTATCATCTCCTCATGGCTTCATCTATTATGTCTACTAGAAGCTTGCAAATGCTTCAACAAGAAAGGGGGCTAAATGTTGATATATGTTACTCATCCATCACCTCACGTGGGTACAAGGTTCACCAAACATTGCAACATCTGAAATTATCCTTCACGGCTACACCTCAGCCGAGGGAAATTGGGTGGAAACAGAGAAATGTGTGTTAAGTGAACGTGTGAAGCTGTCAAGACCTCAAGGAGCTCCTCTCCTATGGATAAACCTCAAAGATACGATTAAGACCTCGAGAAGCTCCTCTTCTACTAATAAACATTGAATATGCGCTGAAGCTCTCGAAGTTCCTCTCGAATGGATAAACCTCGAGAATGCATTGAAGAACTCGAGGAGTTCCTCTTTGAGATAAACTTCAATGGCAATCTCATCTCCAATAGTTAAGCTCTATGACTCAAAGAGCCTCCTTTCATGTGGCTCAAAAGATATAATAGAAAAAATTAAGGCATTTCTATCATAGAGCTCTAAGTTGCAAGCAAGATTTAAAATCACACCAATAACAATATACCGCCATTTGGGATCCTAGGGAAACATGACTTGGAGGTTGGAATCTAATACTTTGAGGAGTCTTCGCTTGGAGAAGGGATCTGATGGAGAACCAGCTATAGTCCAAGAGCTTAAAGTGCATGTGTTTCGCCTCTACGTTTGGAGATGGGGCAAAGATAGATAATTAGGGTTAATTTTCATTTATTATAATTATTATTATTTTAAGTAACGTTTTAATCTTAGGATATTTTAGTAATTTGGTATTTTCATTTTTTGTAGTAGTATTTTCCTAGATGCTTATAAATATGCCATTTGATAACACTGTGAAGGTACTTTATGATGAAAATTGATTCACTAAAGAGATTATTATTGGTGATTTTCTTCTCCCTCTACTTCCTCCATCTCTCTCTCTTCTTCCTCTCTCAATTCCATCAACTGTCCTGCATCAGGATTTCTCTTTGAAATGGCCTCAAAAGGAGTAAGGAGTCTTGAACGCCTAGAGAAAGCCAACACGTGTTAGGCTTAACCTCACTTCATCTCTCCTCCCATATTTGTGTCGTGTTAACATAATAGTATTTGTCAACCCAAACATGACCCATTTAATAAATCATGTCAGGAACCCTTGACACGAACACAACCCAACCTGCGTATCCCGTTTGATAAATGGTCTTCTAACTCACAACATGACCCATTCAATAACCTATTTAACCCGTTTAAATTAAATGGGTCATGTAACCCATTTATTAACCTGTTTAAATTGAGGATATAATGAAAAATATGACAAATACAACAACAAATAATGAAAAATGTAGGTATAATGAAAAATATGAAATAAGGGACGACTAAAATGAGGATAATACAAAAACAACGACGACAAAAAGACAAATAGAATATTCATGTTGGGTTTATCTTTAAATAACATAAATATCCATAGTAATTGGGTTAAAAGTTAATACAAGTTACAGATTAAAAGGGTTGAATTGACACGATTAGTTAAACGGGTTTAATTGGGTTAAACAGGCTGAGTCCGAAAACACAAACACGACACAATTAATTAAAGGGGTTGACATGATTATAACACAAATGCGATTAAGATCAATACCTGCAAATTTTGTATTGTGTTTTGAGTCATATTGGCAGGACGTGTCGAACTTTGCCACCCCTACAGTAATTAATACACCTCTCATGCCAATGGTTGCTTTTAGCATGGGAAGCTGCCACTGAACTTCATCAATCACTTAAGAACTCATTTGTTATGTGAAATTTCAATGCTCATACCCTTTCAGCCAAGGTCCTAGCATCAATGACTCACCTACCACCACTAATACCATATAAAGGCCACTTCCCCACATTTAGTACCCACATAACAACTAGACCAACAAGATAACATCATTGGTAAAGAAATGATCTGTAACTTTTCGAGACGGCCTCTTCCTTCTCGAGGAGTCAGTGCAATCCCTTGATTCTTCTGAGTTTCACCTAGGTTCTCTCTAGGTCCATGTGTAAGATTGACTCCTTATCTTCTACAATAACACAAAGACATACAATGTGATGCAAAGAACCTTAATGGTCCATAATGAAAGGGTTGTGTACATTGTGTGTTGTTTTTGCGTGGTGGGAGAAGGCAAGTCTCAATCTGGCAGAGCATTTGTGCAGTAGTAATCACTGATAGGACCAAAAGTTTTGTGTGTGAATTTCGTGCCAAAAGTCAAAATTTGATCGAGTTGTAATTTTAATTTTTTTCCAAGTGTTTTTTCCTTTGGAATTGTTTAAGATAGTTTTATTTGATTTGGCAAAGTTTGACAAAGATTGAATAAAAATTGCACATGATGATTCATTCAATTATAAAGTCAAGCTTGCATACAGATCTTATCGTACACACTTTAGGGTGACGTAAAAATGTTGGTCATTTGATGCAACTCTTGTGAGACCATGAGATTGAGATTACTATGGATTTTAAAGATTGGCAGGTGCTACACCAATGAAAGGTACGTGTTTATGTACTTGTGTATACACACACACTGACACACATATGAAGACTCTAGATTTATGGAGACCAAAAGTTGGCAAAGGAGACGACGCAATTTCTTTCAATACGAGCTTGAGCCAAGCTAATCACGATCTTGACAAAACACTAGTGAGCTATGCTCGAGCTTGGCTAGCCTGAGCCCAAGCCCAAGCCCAAACAGCTTTCTTGCTTTGGCAAGCCAAGCCCAAACAACTCGGTTCGGCTAGGTTCATTTGCAGCCCTAGTGGTAGATACAAGAGTGGTACACAAGAGAAGCCAAGAGAACATTAAAAAGTCACACAACTTCTTGTTGATAACAATTGGCTTTTTCCACAGGGACGCCCTTGATTAGAGTCTGAGAGCTTCGGCAGAACTATGATCATTATTCCTAGTGCTGAGCTAGAAGATCATGAATAACAACATGCAGTAGTTCTTCATGACCAGTTCATACATGCATGTATGGAGAAGATGAGTCACAAGGAGTGACCATATTGACGATAAGCAGATTCTGGACTTGTGAAGCTAGTGGTTAATGACCAAGTGGAAGTACACACGGAAGCATGTAAGATCAGTCGAAACACACAATATGTGGAATGTGGGTCTTCTTTACTGCATTCATTTCATTTGTTTATGCTTCATTAATTGTGCAGTTGCTTGCTTAAGTTGATTAATTAAAATCAATAAAACACAGAACCAAATAGAAAAGAAGAGACTTATTCATGCCCTCTAAGTATAATCCATGTCTAAGAATTACCTGGAATTACGGTGCAGCAATTTTTAGTCACAATGCTAGCTGAAGTCCATACAAATTAACTAAATTCACTAGCTTGGGCCCAAAATAAAGGACTAGCAATTGAACTCAGACTTAACCTTATGTATCACAATTGAAAAACAAAATGTATATTAAAGTATGGAGTGAATTGATCTTTTCACTAATAATGACTCAGTGTAACTGACTATGCGTTTCAGTCTCAGGCTAAAGTGGGCTGGATAAGAGTTCAAAAACCTACCAACCTTAGAATTGATCAGCACTTAAAACCTTTACCCAAGGCAGAGTGAATATTATTGAATGTCAAAGCCCTCTCAGTAACAGGGTAATAGGGTTGGGCATCTCAGCTGCAAGGACCACACAGACCACAATCAACCTCAAGTATGGTAACAGAAATCATCAATACCATTATACTAGTCCAAATAAACTCATTAAGACTTATTTCCCAACGTTTAGACTTTAGAGATGGCTTATCTGAAACTTTTTTTGCTGTTCTTCTCTATGACATTCTTCTAATTCTAAGATTTTTTTTTTTTTTGGCAACGACAACTGCAAAGACACTACACAACTGAACACCCTTCAGAGAGCACAGGGCATCTCTCACAACAGAGGCATAAGAAGACCAACAATACATGATCGATGTTGTGGCTCTTAAAAGCCACCTTGCAGCAACAAGATTACCACTCTTTGGAATCCAATTCAATGAAAAAGATGGATTTTGCTGATGGAGAGAAGCTACATCATCAAAAATAACATTGCGCTCTTCCTCACAAACTTGCGAACGCATCACAGGCTGACAATTGCCCTCAATAATCACATTTGAAAGTCCCCAGCCTGGTAGCAGATGCACGCCTTCCCTGAAGACTAGACCTTCTGCAACTGATGTTGATGGAACAAAAGGGAAAAACAGAGAAGCTAGTTTAAGCAATTGGCCCTCTGAATTATGAAGAACCAAGTCTCCACCACTCTCTCTGCAATCACATACTTCCTTGCCATCTCAATCCAAATAATTTGTTTTCTCCTTCTTCTCCTACCCACAGTTGGATACCAATATTTAATGGCCTTGCTAATATGGTATCAGCCAATTTTAGAAGCACGACTGCCTAATGAATTCTAAAAATAATCTAGACTTGATCATGACTAGCAAAACAAAAACCTGTTCTTTTTCTGTTCACTAGCAATTTAAGTCTATAATACTTTATACAGCAAAACATATGTGGACGCAAATTTTCCAGGAATTGATAATTTAAAGAACGTGTCATTACAGATTGTGGTTCTCTCTGACTTACATGAGTGTTAGTTATGTTGAAAATTCAACTGCATGACATTAGGACGAAATATCTATATAATAGAATGGATGTAATAAGGTTTCCATGGATGAAGTTCCCACGTGTACCCAAAGAAAGGCTAACAAATTTCATTTAAGTTTAATGGGGGAAAGGTAAGCTCAGGCGCAAGGAGCCAAAACACATTACAAAAAGAACTATTAAAAAAAAATCAAAAAATTTCATGCAAAATTATTGCCCATTTTCTCAGGGAAGAACAACTATTTTTTTGTCCAACAGACCAAAAACCATAAATTAAAAGATTAAATTTTGTTTTTGCTGTATCTAAAACAACCGATAAAGTAATAGAAATGCCTGTCTACCTATGAGACTTGCAATGCAATAAACAAGACAGAATCGAAGTGAGAGAACGAGAACTGAAAAAAATAAATGAAGAGGTCGTGAGCACCTAAATTTAAGTCATTCTAGAACTTATGGCTACAGATAAAGATCAGTGTACATGTGTGTGTGATGCAGTTTGTAAATAACTATGTACTACTGAAGCATCATAATATTTAATTACCAACAAGCTGAGGATTAAAACATATGAAAATAAACAAAAGATAAATAAGAATATCAACGGACAGATATAATGAGAAACAGAACCAAATGTACCGATGAAACAAAGAAGCTTTCCAACAGGTGTAAAACTAACCAATTTTTTAGCCAATAGAATTGACACATGCACTTTTCCAATGCAGTAACAATTCAAAGCAACCATTACCTTTAAATATGAAATGCTTTGAGGTGATGCAATTCCTTAAATAACTTTTAATTTGAAGCAGAACTAGCCGCACATGAAGCTTGTATATTGCTCTCATCCAAAGAATTGTTATCACTGGTCTCTAAAATCTGCTGGTTATGGGGATCTGGAACTAAGCTATCCTCCAAACTATCTGATAGAGAAGCAGTGTTGGTTCTACTATTATCTCTTGTTTCAAGACTTTCCATCATGTGTGATACAGTAGCGATTTCTGCATTAACCTCTCCCCTAACTTCAGAACCACGATCTGTTGTAGAAGTGTTACGAGAGAAGATTCTCTCCTTCCAACCCTTTGTGCCCTTCACAATCGACTCTTTGCATCTTCAAAAGAAAATAAACGAATTTTAAAGAAACAAGAAGTGAGTCATCAATCTGTCACTATATAAATGCATAGCATGTTTCAATATACCTCATTGACACAGCACCAAATCGAGACTTCAGAGATTCTGAAAAAGATTGGAATTCAGATGGTCCTGCTATATCTTGACTACTTGGAGAAGACTGAGTAGGAGATCTCCTACAAAATAACAAATAGACCGTGGAGTTGATAAATGAAGGAAAATAAAAACTGAACAAGGAAAAACATGTTTTATACCAAAAATACATTTTTGAGGCTAACTCAATAGAAAAGGTAATTAGAATCAAGCTTTACAATTGTCATTACCGATTGTTTGAGGAAGTTCCATGGTTATTGGTAGCAAGAACACTTGATCTAGAGGCTGAGGCAGAAACCTGATCAGCTTGAGCAGAAGGTACTGGTGTAATTAGTTGTGTAGATTCTTCTCCCAGAGTTAAAAGAGAAGTTGGGCCAGCTGCTGTGACTGCAGAAGCTGGTTCACCTTCACTTCTCTGAGTTGAAGAAAATGATGCAGCATCAGCAGAAGGTGCATTAGGATGAGTTGAGAACACCAAAAATTGTGGCCGACCTTGAGCTGATGACCTACTCCTCTGCCCTCCCCTCCTGGCAATGTGGCGTGCCCTCCCCATGGCAGCTGCGGCAGCTAAGTGATGAATTATACGCTCTTCAAGTTCAGCATCAGTTGCACTGACTGGTAACTGCATTAAAAGATAAAAAGAGATTATATGAACACGACACTTAGCATGTAGGTGATTTATTGATGAGAAAGAAAACAAGGCAAAGGTTTCAACTAGCAGAGGTAGATTACAAACATGCTGTAATTCAAAATCCCCCAAGGTTGGATGATGAAATATCGTGGAATTTCTAGATGGGTTAATCCTGGAACTTCTCTCCTGTTCTATTGCATCAAGCAATTCCTGGCTGCCAATACATGCACATTAAATATTGTTGTCAAGTAGGAGTAGACAACTGAAAAAGAAATCAGGAGGACGGGGAGGAGAAGATCACAATATAACCTGCTGGGATCCTTCAGGCTGATCGGTTGCCAACACATTGGACACTGCGAGCTCCTCTGACACCTACAAGATTGAAGTCAAATTAAAACTCAAATTTTTTATTAAAAAAAACTAAAAGATATTGGCCTGACATAAATATCAAGTTCTCTTCGAATAATCAAGATAATTGAAGAAGATTAAGAGGCCCAAAAACAACTATCAGAATAAAATCAAATATACGACATCTTGAAAAACTAATGACAGGTGATAGTAGTTCATCTTAGTCAACTTTATATTAAAAATATATAACTATAGAAAGAATCTTCATACGAAACACGTCCTAGAGATGCAATTTTCCAAAATACTTATTTACTTATTTACTCAAGCCACAAAAGGGGAAAAATAAATGTTACAAATTGATGAAAGATGCAAATCCAACAAAATGTGGGCTAATGTGTATAAGCTAACATTAAGGTAGTAATCTAGAATCAACATACCAAGCATAACACCTTCACTATGATTCTGGAATTCCAGTTAACCAAATAGCAACATCTCATAGTCCAATATTCAATAAAGTATTGCTCAAGGAAGGGGAGCGGGGGAGTAGATATTAAATAATAATTTAAAAAGAAGCAATTGAGTTTCCATGGCATTTAACCATAAATGCTCTGAAATGACATTAATGTATCAATCGTAAAGGTAATAAAGTCACTAAGGTACTAATTTTGTCGTAATCTTATGCAAGTATAAAGATAATCAAATGAAATTATTTGAAATCTATCAATATTTAACAGTGGTTCAATATCAATGGAATGTTACACAAATTAAGTTTCATCTATGACACAAATTTTTTGAAATTATCCAGTTTTTGTGTTTGAAAAGCATTGATAAAATGCATCCCCATCATTTTATTTATGTGCAAGATATACAATACTAATCAAGTAGGTTACCTGCGTATAGGGCAAGCATCTACAGTAATCATAGATATGCATATATATGATAACAATTGATGTATTTACATCCTTCCAAGCAGTTAGACCAATAATTAACCCAGCTACAAACAGTTTCATTATGAGGTTACATGCTTAATCTTGCAACCCAAGTCTTGGACGTCCAAAGAGGCACCCATGCTTAATTCATCTTGTTTACAGTGATAATAAGAGTACTCAGATAAAATCTTCCTATAATATAGGATCATAGAAGCACCCTTCATGGACTATTAACCTTTCAAAACTTAGGCCAAACTATGGTAAAATATATTTTATGCCATATTCATATGATAGCATTAGCAGTCATGCATCATTGAATAATTTTAGTGTTCTCACGTAGCTCACTCGCTAAATTTTTGTGTTAAAAAGAAAAATGCATGTGAGAATACATAATCAAGAGTTATTGGAAGCAGAAGAACGATTGGGGCCCAAGACCTCACAACTTCAAAACAGGCGATTGCCTATCCCCTATATGTGCATAGTTCTTTGGTAACAGAAATGTTAAGTATGCTGATATACAATATAGTGGAGGGATACTACATTATCAAGTTTGATGTCTGTATTGTTGAAGGGACTACCATTTCAATCCCCCATCTTTTTGTTTACTAATTGTATTAGTATTATATGTGGATCTGAGGAGCAGTTCTGGTATGCTTGTGTTCTTTTATAATTAAAAAAGAGACATCCTAGCTAGGAGGACACGCACATCATATTTCAGGCAAAGAAGGGGATTGGATACCAAGAAATTTTCTTGTTCAACCGAGCTCTAATGGGAATAAGGCTTTGAAGCTAAGAAACATGGACATGGAGAAGACTACAGACATGAAAAAACATGTAAACACTGACGCAACAAATATTAAAGTATGTCACTGACATGACGAGAACACTACAATAAAGTATAATTTCTTATTATATATATAGTATATTATATACAACAAACATTACCCAGTTATAACTAAATTCAATTTTCTATGTCGAAATGAAATATAATAAACCTTGTCATATAGAGGAAGTCATGAAAAGGAGACAACACATGGTCGATTCATGTGCTTGAATACGCAATTTGAAAACTCCTCTCCTGCTCTCATACCCACTCCTTTAACAAAAATTTCTAAATCTTTTAATTTCTTCATATGATCAAACTCTATAAATTTTATATAAACCTTTCATTTATTTATTTGTTCCATCTATTTTTCTGCACACTAAAACAAAGTATTATCCAATGCCCTAGGTTCAATAGGCATGTGGTAACAAGTAGCCAAGTAGTTCAACCATTTGTATATGATTAAGAAACTACTTTTAAATTAAGACCCATCCATAATGCATTGGACACGAGTGTCCAAAAATGGGTATCCAGCACGTGTCCAACACAAATACAACTCCTGTTTAGAAGTGTTTGTGATTCTTAGTTTTGGAAATTTGCTTTGGAAGAAGATAACCTTGGGATGAGAGTGGTGGAAAGGAAGTTGTTTGGAATCTGGACAACAAGGGACATTTTGTGCTCCTTTGGCATAGGGCTTTAATCGGAGTTTAAGGAAAGTTACATAGACGCATATTTTCTTAGTTTTTCCGTAAGAGATGGGAGTGAGTGAAGTTTTAGGCAAGGTATCTGGTACCACTTTGAACTTTGAAGACCATTTTTTTTTCCAAATCTTTTCCGAGTTACAACTAATAGACAAGCTTGTTTGTCAAATTATCTTCAGTTTTGATGTAGGACAGGTTATCGACTTTTCCTCAATCCATTTGATAACATCGTTTCTACTCGAGGAGACCCATTCTTGAGCGAAACCGTCCCAATACCCACTACCTTTAACTAGTGGCCATGTTACTTTTCAGTCAAATTCCCCTGTTTTGGGTCCCAGCATTGTGCTTCAAGTCTTACACGAAGATTGTTGAATATATCGGAATTTTTGTTAGTGGTCGATTTGGACTTGAAATAGGTTGATTTTTGGTATTTAGATATTTTTAGTGGTTAGGTTTTATCTCCTATTTTTTTTTGTACTTTTGAGAGAGTTCAATTTTGGCCTTTTTTAGGTTTCCTTATGCAGTTAGATAACCTTATATTGTTAGGTTTTCTCTTTATATATATGCATGTGCTGCAAGAGCATAATACATCATTCATTAATTATATTTCAGAATTCTATTTGCTTAAACTATGGATTCAAAATTGATTTGTCGTTCCTTTGTGAATGTTCATAGCTTCCGCTCCATCGAGTTTTCACAAGGAAGAGTGGTTAGGAGGAAGCATCAATTCTTCATTGTTTTGTAGGATTGGGAGTTATGTGACTATGGACTCTTTATTTGTCCTTCCAAACATCTTTTTAAATGGGTGCCAAGTCTCTCACAGCCACAAATAACAATAATATATATTTTTTTGATAAGTCACAAATAACAATAATATGAAAGGTCAAAGTGTCTTTATGGAAAATAATTTCCCCTTATTTGGGTGGAGTGGATGCAACCTATAGCATTATAGTCTTTTAAAGATAATTTTAACCACGGACAATCTGGGAAAGAGGGAGAAGATACTTCTCAATTGATGTTACATAAGCAAAAAGGTAAAAGAATGCAGCAATCGTTTTGGGGACTGTTAGGTATCCTGGTTAAAAATTATCATGTTGGCTCTAGGATTGGGGAACAAAGAAGCTGCATAAGGTTTGGCAGGTTGCACCTTTTTCTCTCATGTGGAGTATTTGGCAGGAGAGAAACAGATGTACTTTTGAAGAGAATGTATTATCAGTCTATAAGTTGAAACAACTAATGTTAAGTTTGTTACAATTTTGGATTTACAAAAATAAATTAATAAAAATCCAAAAATTTAACACACAGTCATTTATTTCATGAGCAATCAAACTAGCACAAAAGTAGCTCAAATGGCACTCTTGTATACTCCGTGTGTAGGGTTCCACCTCTTTGGAGCTTGTCCACGGAAAGAAGAAAGGTTTGGATGACATGGACATATCCAATGTAGGCACAAAAATGCACCCAAAAAAAGAAACATATTAGTTAAAATTGAGGGTAAGCTTTACGTAGGCTAAAACTAACTTGGGACAAAAACAATAGAAGAAGACGTTAAAAATTATATATAATAGAAGATGTGGCAGATAATGGAAATGAAGAAAGAAAGAGAATTGATGTGGCCGACCGCATTCAAATGGGAAAAGACAAGAATCATGATGATAGTGATGATATTACAAACCCAATGAGACAGTCCCACTTCAGCCCAATACTATTAACCATAGTCCTTAAAATTAAAAAAATAAAAATAAAAATAAAATAAATCCATCAAGCTAAACTAACTTTAACCGGGTATCTTTTTATTGAAATTGAATAAGAATACCATTCAAGAATGCACTGGAGATGAAATTCGTGCTTGCAACCAGTCACCTGCAAGAGTTAACATATAATTAGTCCAATGAAAAGTCAAGTCACATCCATGATAAAATCCATCCAATATGCATACCGTTGATGGCTCACTTTCACAAAATGCCTCGAGACATATGCTGCAAGCATCATCGCAGGCATCTTGAATTCCACCTTCCACAAAAGCTGCAGCTGATGTCAAATGGTTCTCGGACGTTTTGCCCTCCTCCATCCTCTAGACCTACAATTCTCACCCTTGCCCGAGAGCTCCCTTCAAAGAAAGTCAAAATATAACTAAGATTCAATTGTACGAGTAAGGCAGCAAATCTTTATTAAAACATAGCCTACAGTTGATTTTAGAAACTTAAAAACGAGATCAAGCATCTTTCACTTTCAAACAATGATATATACTACAATGAAAATGAAAGCAAAGCTCAAGTTCGAGTATTACATAACTTAGATCCTGCAATGAAAAATCAATACCAATTCCAAACCATATATATATATATACACTACAATGAGAATGAAGGCAAAGCTGAGTTCAGAGTGTTGTTACATAACTTAGACCCTCCAATGAAAATCAATACCAATTCCAAACCAAGTAACATTAACCATACAGCAACACCATCCCCAAAGAAAGGCACATCCTCAAAATCAATCAGACCACATTCAAAGAATAAAAATTCAAATTGAATTGGAAACTATATTTGATTATTTGAACTTAGACCTGCTCACATTCTCAACGAAGTTTGCTAAAATAAAAAAATAAGGACAATACATAGACACCCGTCCAAGAAACCGGAAAAAAACGTAGACTAAATACTCTGTATTAAGAATTTATACCCACAATTGAAAGGGGCTGAAGCTATAGTCACCATACCAAATTAAACCATATAGTCATACAAGTTTTAATTCAGAAATAAAATCAAATAACTCCTCAGTAATTAGCAAGTTCACAAGAACAGTAGACAAACTAAAGAAAAATAAATTACAACTGTGAAACTACCCAGTACTAAAAACCCAATTCTGATACAAGTACGCAGTATCAAATTGACCCCTACCCCGTACTAAAATTTCAGAATTCCACAACTTCAGTACCCACTTCCAATTAACAGAAAACAAATATCATACGCACACAAACACACATAAATAAAGCTCGATTTTCACGAATTGAAGAGAAACTAAGACGTACGAAGATAAGCTACCAAAAAAAAAAAACTTTTTCTGTAATATGATATGATCTTACGTTAATCTGACAGATTCAAAGCTACGATCCAATGGAGAGTGATCGGTACAGGTAGTTGAAGAGAACCCTAGGCTGCAGAGACGAATAACGGGTCGAATGGTAGACGACGATGACGATGATGATGATGATGAGAGAGAGTAGTCAGGGTTTCCTTTTTGTTTTTTTGTTTTACATTTGATTGGCGGTGACTGACCGGACTTCCTTAAGCTGGGTCTTCGAGTGGTCAGTGGTCATACATATGGCTTTACCATAGATATTTTTAGGAGTAACACGCTCGCAGTGTTACCGTTGACGCTTGACACCATCAGTTCATACCCCAGAAAGATTGTTTTGATTATGTTTTTATTTCCCAAAAAAAAAAAAAATTATGTTTTTATTTTATTACCTAAATCAAATAATAATAATAAAAAAAGTATTAGAATCTCATATGTCTAATAGTCCGTATTTTTTTAGTTTTGATTACTTTATTTTGTTTTATTTTATTTCCGAAATCAAATAAAAAATAGCATTAGAATCTGGTGTAATATTTTTTTTTAAAAAAAATATTACAAATATCAGTTAGGTGTTATCAACAATCTATATTTTTCTAGTTTTGATTATTTTATTTTATTTTATTTTTTGCTGAACTAAAAAATTTAGAAAAATATAGTAATAGAATCTCATAGGTCTAATAATTTTTTAAACAAAAATTGAGTAAATATAACATCGTGTTGTTTGATAATTCAATTTATCATTAAGAGGTGTAGAAAGAAAATAAGAAGTAAATAACAAACTTCCTTTTTCGACAGAGATGATACAAGGAAAGAAAAAAGATTAGGAAGGATGCCAACTTTTTCCTCCTTTAAAAATTTTCATCTGCCAAAAAATGAACGGAAAAAAAAGGAGGGAAGAGAAGTGGACTATTGTAGAAATTTTAAATTAAATACTATACTAAATTATACAAGTTTCAAACTACAGTACTATCATTTATAAATTACAATATTATAAATGTTATTGGATATAATGGTAAAAACAATTTAAACTTTCTCATTCCTCTCTCTCAATGAGTATACTAAATTATAAATTTATTATCTTATCTTATATCCAATCAAACAAAAAATATATATATTACACACAATTTCTTCCCTAAGTCTCATCAATGGTCTCTTCTCTCCCTTCCACCTATGTTTTTTTCTCTTACCTAACCAACATAGTAGAAAGATATTTTAAGGCAACCAATACTAGTTTGCTACTGCTTACTATCAAGAGAAATGTGGTTTTTTCATTCACTTGAAGTATTTAACTGCCCCAGTATCAAAATTTTTTTTGGAAAATTACATAAAATTACATATAAATATAGAGTTAAGAGCTCTAAATAATAAATTGATCAATTTTAAAATTTTAATTTTACACATTGATTGAATTAATCAAAATAATTACAAATGTATCAAAAATTATTTCTAAAGTCCAAAATGTCCTCACACTCTTATTTCAACTGTCCTCAATCGGCCACTAACGTGGAGGAATTTAATTTGGATTGCCTTTGGAATTACTGGCATCTAATCTAAAAGGTAAGAACTAAAAAAAGAAGTTCCTTTACATTGAAGATTTTTCAATTGTTAGCTAAGTGAAGCTATTTTTATTGTTAATGGTATATAGGAAGATGTCAAAACTATATTGGGATTTGTTAGTGGAATATCCATATGCATTTCTTTTTGGTTGCCATACCTCTCTAGTTGTTGTTTGTTTTATTTTCTAATCAATTTTCAAAAATCATAACAAATTTTGAGATGCCAAATTAATAATCTTTTGCAAGAACCCTAATTTCATAAGCTATAACATAATTATAAAGTTCACGTAGTCATAGATATGAAACTCCTGAACAAATATATATGTGTGTGTGGAGAGAGAGAGAGAGATCGATAGAAGGGAACCTAGAAGACCGTGAGAGCATCTGCGAGGAGAAGAAAAGGAATGTAACAACTCTTACCCTAGCCAAACACAATATTGTCCACTTTTAGATTCCTGAGACCAAATACTTCCTAGGGGGTCACCCATCCCAGTACTACTCCAGGTTAAGCACGCTAAACTCCGGAGTTGTACTAGGATGGGTGACCTTCTGGGAGGTCTTTAGTTTCGGAGAGCTAAAAGCGGACAATATTGTGTCTAGCTAGGGTAAGGGTCGTTACAAATGGTATCAGAGCCTGACCAGCCAGAAGTGTGGCCAACGGGGACGTTGGGCCGTAAAGGGGGGGTGATTGTGGCAACCTTGTGGGCGGGTGTGTGTGAGTGTGTACAGGTGGCACTAGTAGGCTATCACATTGGGCAAGCTACAGGTGCACAATTCTACATCGCCTGGGTGTAGATGGGGCAAGTGCTATATGTAGATTCAATACCCTTCTATGATAAAATGCATTTTAAAGTCGTGTTGGCCGTGAACTCGCTAGAACTCCAGAGTTAAATGTGCTTAACCTAGAGTAGTACTAGGATGGGTGACCCCCTAGGAAGTCTCTGGTTCGGGGGAGCTAAAAGCGGACAATATTATGTCTGGACAGGGTGAGGGTCGTTATAAGGAATGTGGTGGTGTTGTTTTTGAATGGTGGTAGCTGATTGACGACGAAGAGAAGTAGAGAATTATTATTTATTAGTCAATCTAATTTTTAATTATCTATTTTATTCTATTAAAATTACTTGTATATAATTTTAAGAAGGATAATTTGATATTTTGAAATAAGAGTGTGAGGATATTTTGTACCAGAACAATAAATATTGATGTATTTGTATTTATTTTATTTAATCCAATTAAAATAGAATATTAATTTTTAAAATTGATCAATTTGTCATTTAGACCTCTTAACACTATCGATGTGTGATTTTCTTTTTCCTATTTTTTTCCCCTGAAACACGGCGGTCTAAAAACACCGTCAAATAAAGAATAGGAAAAAGTGCAAAAAACCCCTCTGAACTATTGGAGAATTTGAAACAAACCCGTAAACTATAAAAGTCGCAAATAACCCCCTGAACTATATATTTTTATTACAGATCACTCCATTCAGCAATACGCGGTCAAATATTGCCATTAGACACATCACATGCTCTCACGTGATGCAAATTCTGAATTTTAAGGACTATATTGCCCTTATAAATTTGAAAAGATAATAATACCCATTTTCTGACCTCTTTTTTCTCTTATTTTTCTTCACATTCAGACCTAATACCTTTTAACAGTTAAAACCCAGAAACGCCATCCACCAAATTTCCCAAATTCACAATACTTTATGAGAGACAAGGCTCATTGACGAGCGCTTCGCCTTGCTGGACCTCAACAACGATGGTCTTTTGTCTTGATCGGAGCTCTGTAAGGCCTTTGAGTCGTTCCGACAAGTTGAGATCTGCTTTAGTTTGGACATGGCGACACCGTGGGAGGAGTTCGACTAAAAACCGCAATTCGTGAGCCTAAACCTGTGTCACAAATTAGACTAACCCAACCAGAGCATTATTCTGTAATAACCCAGTTACTTGTTTTACAAAGTCTAATTCTTCTTCGATCATGACTATAACGAGCATGATACATCGACAGCAGCACCAAAGTAGGAGAGTTGTCAGATTTCGGCAGAAGCGGGGTGGTGACAGTGGATTTTTGGGGTTTCAATTGGGTTTCATTGTGTTTGATTTTAATAGGAGTTGTTTAATTTTTAAAGACAATGGAGAGAAGTGTGATACCCCTCGATTCTAGAGCCACGGGTGATTAAGTCCGAGCACAGATCTGAGGGATACCAAACAGTTAATATATAAATAAGTACAGAATACAAATATGAAATAAGAATAAAATAATAAGCTGAAAAAAATTCTAAATTAAAAATCCTCAAAATTTATAAATTAATATAAATTCCAAACTTTAAAATATCTGTACAACTCGGGAATCCATCTAGTGGACCCCTATCCAAATCCCTAACTGAAAAGGAAACAACTGTAATAAAAATCTAAAGCTAAACATAGAAAGTAGTCCTACGTAGTTGGAGGAGTGAGTGATTGTATCTGCTCTACATGATCAAGCTCTAACCCTGGAAGTGACGAACACCTGAAAAATAAGGGAGTGGGTCAGGCCCACATGAAAGTCTTATCCTATTACGATCCATATAGAAACTCGATACGCAGATACATCCTAGATAGTTCAACAATAACTAAAGTAGTCCATATAGATATATATATATACACTCACTATAGGACGCTCATTAGACTATAATGTAATCTCAGCCTGAATAAAAGGTAACATGCAAATCGCACGTAACGTGGTCATGTATACCTAGACCTACCAGGGAACATCAATTATGTCCAGTTATCCATCCTAGGCGATATACGCACCCTAACCATGATCCTGAGACTCAAGCTCATATCACGGCACCATAAAGATATATATATAAAATCCGTTCAAGATATGTCATTCAAATTTTTATTGACCTGACATAAATATAGGTAGGGCTTAACTTTTATAGTTAATCCAACTTATTTCAGAATAGGTAGGACTTAGTATTTTGAACTAATCCGTCCCTAGAATAGGTAGGTCTTAGTGTTTTGAACTAAGCCATCCCTAATATGCTACCGTCCCATACCGGTGCATATACATACATATAAGTAGGACTTAACTTTTATAGCTAATCCAACTTATTCCAAAATAGGTAGGACTTAGTGTTTTGAACTAATCCGTCCCTAGTATGCCACCGTCCCATACCGGTGCATACACACACAACCAATCCAGTAATTGACAACACAGTACAAGCAGTTCATCAATTATAATTCAGAACATTATAATGATAATCAGAATTGTTACCGAAAACATTATAGTGAAATTCTTTAACGTAAACTTCGTAACAATCTATAACTCCAACAATTGATGCAATCTAAGCAGTTAAAACATCAATTAACTCCATACAAGCATACTACAGTTTCAGTTAGTCAATTATGCTTATTTCAGTGCTTAAACATGATTAATACTGTTTAATCATATATACACAAATTGTTAGAATTATAGTAAGCAATTAAATCCTCCAAACAGTCTATAGCCTGATACCGGTTATAACAAATTAAATATCAATTTAATTCAATCCAATCCTAGTTAATTGTCGGTATTCCATTACCCATATAACACTGTTGAAATATGATTAAATATTATTAAATCATATGCAAAATATTTGTTAAGTTTCATTAAACAAACAACTTAACAAAACAGTACTCAACATGTATGCTTTCCTTTATCTTCATGTTGCTTCATTATTTAATACACTAATGTG